GAGAGAGAGAGAGAGAGAGAGAGAGAGAGAGAGAGAGAGAGAGATAGACAGAGGGAGATAGACAGAGAGAGAGAGAGAGCGCGAGCTTAGGCTATGCCATGCCATCTTACAAGGAAGTTAGTAACACTGGGCCGCTGGTCGGCGCTAGTGTCGAGCTTGAAAGATAGTGCATGACGACGTACGAATAATCTAGTATCTTATATAATAATCTAAAATTTTCTGGAAATTATTCAATTAGGTCTGAATACCAAGGCCACGTCTTAATAATTAAAACTGGTCGAATGAAATTATCTATACAGATATCTGCCCTGCAACGCGGCGTTGTGATGTCTCATTTCCCCACAGCAGTCTCATTATTTTGAAACAGTTGTCATTTTTAATTGAATAACTGCATGTATTTGGTATGTATGTATGTACATATATTTATCGTATATCGTGACCTTCCTTTGGTATGTATGTATGCATTTCATACAGACGCGTGTCTTAAATAACAACGTTATGGATTCATAATTGAAATCAGGTGACTAATCGGCCAAAATCTAAAATCAATCATGTCATCTAATTATCATCTAATATAAATCAATCTAAAATCAATCTGAAATCAAAATCAAATCAGGTGACTATCGCGAGCCGGTGACTACAGAGCAATGGTCGGGTGTATCCACGAAAATTAGATTAAGTTTTAGATGCTGCGTTTCCTGTCTCCATAGCAACAGTAGAACACGCACACGCAGGAACGAACGCGCGCGCACACACACGCTAGGCAACGACATAATATCGTCAGTGTCGTAAGCTGAAGCCACAAGTCGGAGGAAGGTCACGATATTCGATAAATATATGTACAAATATATATTGACATAAAGTAATCGACTTCTATACATGCTGAATTGTGCGCACACGGACCCCAGATTGGTCGTCTGACTGACGAATTACATAACAACGCGGCTCTACCGTCGCCGCACACATCACCGACTACAGTGGCGCCGCCTAGGTAATCATATTCCGTGCTGGAATGATTAGCAGACATCGTTGGTGACCAATGTCGCTTTCCCAACGCAAATAATTAATTAACTAAGCTACAACGATAAATTTTAACGCTATGACTATATGATTGAATTACATAACACTCTCCCCCCGGATCGCCGATGACGACGACCTACCTGGAGGTATCGAGACAGCCACAGATGTACATGTTCATGTAAAAACCTCATGCGAATATCCACAAAATAGTCGCTATCCATCTGCTATGTTTACAATTCATCAATCATACGTTGTTTGCGAGCGATTACAAACCGAATGATACCGAATTTAATGGCGTCGCGAAAGCTAACACGCCACGGCGCACGCTACACGAGGGATGAGCACGCACGGGTTTTCTCATGCACGCACGCACGCACGGGTTTTCTCATGCACACACGCACGCACGGGTTTTCTCATGCACGCACGCACGCACGGGTTTTCTCATCATATATATATATATATATATATATATATATATTCAACATATCTTCCTCTGGTAGCGTCTCACTCGCACTATAGCGTCATAGTCAGATACCACCAAGGCAAATACCTGTCTTGGTTTTATCATCGAAATGTACTGCATATGTTGATGAAAACTGTATAGCATCTGTACCTGTGCGTGTGTACATGATTATTGTTTGATGATGTTTTCTGTGTGGCTAGTGTTTGTAATGCTGTTTACTTTGTATTTCACATAATAAACAAGAATTCAAGACTTCCAATTGAAAGCAAATAAAAACAAACGCACAATTTGCATTAACAACTTACATGCATGTTATCGGGAGTACATGATATCAAGTGCTTTTTCGATGCATTTTGATAGTGTGTATTTCTGATGACACAATTGTTTATAAAGAGAAATCCCACACAGTGTCTGTCTGTTTTTATCAACATTCTTTTTTCCTTTCCTCTTCCCTCCAATTCATCATTATGTTGTTGTTGTTGTTGTTGTTGTTGTTGTTGGTTCTCTTCCGTCGTGTTTGCGTGCGTGTTATGACTGGGGACACTAGTGTTACGACCGGGAAGACTAGTGTTATCACCGGGGACACTAGTGTTACGACCGACTTAAATAATATACCAAACCTATTTTTTTCGCAAGACCAAATGCACTTTCTATAGCGTTGTAGGCTCTTGCCTCTGAACACTCAAGTAAACATGTCTGTTTCTGTTCTTCACACAGGCTCTAAGACACCGGATATTTTATTACTACCTTAAAGTGTTGCATACACAATGCTGTCATAAATCGCGTGTACATAAACGACTTCAGAAAGTAAACCATAACACATCAACTAGATCATAACACGTTCCATGCTTTCTAGTCGATCTACATTGAGGGACATTCTTTCTTCATTCTTTAATAGTTCGACATTCTTCACAAGGCACTACCGTGCGTGTATAATTCCGATTTGCGCACTCTAATGCCATATTATTGTCACAGAAATTTATAAAACGCCGTACTTACATGAGAACTCACACAGGAGATAAACCGTGTAAACGCCGGAGAAGTAGTACAACAACTGGCAAAAGACTGCACAGTTGCTGTGCCACCTATACGCACAAGAAAAATTATCTTCTGCGAAAAGCTGCATCTCTTAAAGGCAACGCTATTCGGTCGATCTTATATATGCTCAAAATCGTTATAATATAACTATATTATATTTATGATATTTTATTATGTTATTATTATGTTATTATTATGTTATTATTATGAACAGATTATGTTTAAGTCGTTCGTTTATACTTATATAAAAATGTAGACGCCGGCC